TATATATATATAGACACCTGCTTGCCATCGTTCTGCAATTTCAGGAACTACTAAAGTAATATTTTTCTGGTTGTTTGGCTCAATCTTTTCTCCTTTGCCTTGTTAATAATCCAGTTTACACGCACTCTGCTCTTTATTGCTCGCTAATCCCCATAACTGCAGATAACTGTTTAGATTAGATCCCCATAACTATTTGGATTTATTTTTTTTCACTTGCCCAGCCTGCTATGAGACCGTTGACCGATAGAACGGCAAACTAAGGAAGACATTGGAGTAGACTTATACTCGTTCTTTAGAAAGCGCAGCTTTACAAATTTACTGCTTAGAAATACATTAAAAATAAGTTAAAAATTTAATTGAAAACGTATGACGTTAGAGTTCCCAACAACAAAAAATCGTGGTGACCCTGCTAATAGCTTTCGCTGAACTAAATAAAGAGGTGCAATTGTACGTCAACTTTGACATAAAATAATTAGAAACTTACTGTTCTTCTATTTTAATAATATTATGGGTTACTCCAGATGCTTATTAAACCAGTCCCCTCGCCAAATCAGTTTTTTTTTCTTTTTTTCTTTAAATTTAAGATTTAGCATTTTTATTTTTTTAAAAAAAATTCAGACAAAGTTGACTTCTATCTTTTGAACTAGCCAAACCTGCCTGATTCTCAGTAAAATCAGCCTTTAATCAGTATCTGAAGTATGATTAAAATGCCTACTAGCAATCGCTTGCTGATTTGTTAGTGAGCGCTGTTTTGTCTGAACTGCTGTATCTTCATTAGTTTTTAGAATTATACTATTGTATAGCATTCTTGAATCATATAACTACTGATTTCATTAATAGAAAAATAAATTTTCTGTTTAATTCCTTTTTTAAAAAAATCTTACACCTATATTCGTATCATCTCTTAAAAAAGTGATATGAAATTTTTTGTCACACCCACTTCCAATCTCTAGTACCTCAAAATTGCAGCTGGGGTTCAAAAATAAAAGCTGCACAATTTTGCCCCCCTATGTTGCAATCCCACTTCACCCTCCCATATATATGTACAATGACATAAGATCTTTATTTGTTTTGAAGATACCCTATTTGCTCCCCAATGTTAAGAGCAAAAGAAAGTTCGACATTTTTCTCACGTTCAGAAGGAAATTCTCAGCTACTACACAGGAAGGCAACAGAATCCGTAAAAACGGGGCGCGCTTGTGGGATTTAGTTTTCAGATAGTGGGGCGCATGCGTCCCATTGCCCCTGTCTCTGCCCCACGACGTGATCCCTCTTCTAAGTGAGAGAACCGATGTAGCAGACGAAAAGTGTGTTTGTCTCTTAACTGTTGAAGTACGTGACGATCGGAGAAGACATTCTTTCCACCCCCCAAGCGGAAAAGTTATCGTTGAAGGAGATCGAATGAAATAGGGATCGAATAAAATTGATTTGTTCTTTTCAAAAGTTTCGAAAGAATTTACTAATAAAAAATAATAAAGCATTTTAAAAATATTCGAATTATTGGAATTCAGAATTTTCGTCAGGTAAAAATTTTCTTTTTCACTTTAAGGTAGTAGTTTTATTATTAAAAAAAATTATATAATTTTATAATTATTTTTTAGTGGATGTAATTTCATATAAATAAATTATTTCAATTAGTTTTTTTCAAAATAAACACTGAAAATTGCTTTTTTTAAGCAACATGATAAAGGTTTTTGTAGACATGCTTTATTAAAGTCTGACAAAAAAAATCATAAAAGGAAGGGAATATTTTCAAATAATATTATAAATGAGAAGAAATGATGAACATTAGTAATATAATTATTACATTGCTATATTATAATTGTATTAATAATTTACTGTTATTCAAAATTTAATGTATTTATTAAAATTTAATAATTTAGTAAAAACATTAAAAATGGGTATTTTAAATTTAATATGCACATTATGAATTCATGATGTTCTTATTAAATTTAAATTTTTTATAATATAGTATAACTAACAATTTAATTTTATTCTATTATTCATAATGTTATTTATAGCTTAATGTTATTAGTTGAAAATGTTAGTAATGAGTTGAAAATATTATTAATAAATTTAAAAATAACTTTGTAAATTCACACTGAATTAAAATTCGCTGAATGAAAATTCGTAAATAAATATTTCCAAAACTACTAAATGAAACTTAAAAATGATTTAATTATGCATCTAGAGTATTATCAGATTTAAATATTCTTTAGAGCCTTATTTTTTTAAAAAAAAAAACTATTGCTAATTTAATGATGTCTAAAAGTATTTTTTTTATCCCCAATACAAAAATGTTAATTGTTTTAGGTTTTGGTATTATTTTTCTTTTCAAAATTCTTTTGAAAATCAAAATTTATGTTAGCATTACAAAAAGAAAGGTACTTAGAACAATTACTAAGCTCTAAAATTGAATGTAAAACATTTTGGAAATGACAATTTAAAATTTTAAAAAATTTTTAATCTTTTGCTTATCTGTTTCAAATATTTAATGTATGAATAGATTTTATAAAAGAAAAAAAAATTTCAACAAAAATTAAAATTTGTTTTGCTGAATAAGGTATGTGTCTTACTCTAAAATCACAAATTAATATTATCATCGGAAAAATATTTACCATTTTTTAGTTTCTCTTCTTAAAGTTTTACAGTTTTTTTTGAAGAATTTTCATTTGATAAAAATAACATTTGGAAAGTAAATGAACTTTTTATTCCCATTCATTAGGAAAAATGTTTTTAAAAATGTGTTTTCAATAATTGTGTGAAAAGTTTTACTTTAATTTTAAGTACTTTAATTTTAAGAAAAAATGTGAAATAAAATGTTTACTATTTTCTATTAGTAGATTTGAAATATTTCGAAACAAAATGTTTGCTTATTAGATTGTAGACATTTAAAAAACAAAACGTGAGATTTTCAGTTAAATGTTGTTTCAAAAATATTTTATTCAGACATTATGTTTTTGAAATCATAGCTAAGAAATAGAAACTTCGTTGTGTTAACCAAATTTGTTGATTATTAAAAATATATAATTGTTTCATACTTTTATATTTTAATTGTTTTGATTTAAAAATTATCGATAAAATAATAATATAATTCTTTATTTTAATCTAACATAATTGTGTAGAATAAAATATTTTAACATCTTATTCTCATCTCTTTAGCTATTTTTATTAAAATGGAGTAGTCTATTGAAATTGAAAATATTTAAAAAACTTTTGCACTGAAAAGTGCATCTTTACTGCGTTTGGAATCTTGCCACTTCCTGGCTAGCTAGGACACTCAAATGTCAATTGGAGCTACGGGCGTAATAGCAAAGCAAATTTCTATCGCTTTTTGACCATAATAGGCAGAATTCTCGCCATTTCATCACTAAATAGAATTTATCTTCAATTATAATTCTTTCCTCTAACTGGAATTCTCAAATTATATATGAATCTTTGTTCCTAATGCTAATTGTTTCCTGAATTAAGAAGCAAAGATTATTGCCAATCCAAATGGCGACCACTTTTCGTCAGAGGCAATTTACCACATAGAAAACTCAAAAGAAAAAAAAACAATAAAAATTTTTTAAAAAATTAAAAAAAAAAAAAAAAAAAAAAAACACTTTTTTATTATACTTAAAAAGGAGAATATTTTACGTTTATCCGAACAAAAACAGAAGACGCATCACTTTTAATGTGAACACTTCGACTTAATCTGGTCAAAAGTTTTTCGACATCAACCTAAAAAATTGAGCAATGGTTGTGGGGTTGTTTTGCATGATTTGGCTTGGGTTCTTATAGTTTCTGTGGTTAGAAACATTGACTCTGCGATAAACAGTGCAAAAAAATTCCCAAAATAACTTTTGATCTAATGATCGGATCTTTAAGTTCTAGGACTCAATCTTAATGTTTCGAGGAGGCGAACTCAAATATTCTAAGTGCAGATGATATATAAATGTTGTGCTTTCAAAATTCGATTTCTTAGGAAGTATTCGACGGATTTCGGTTAGCTTTTATATTTACATTCAAATTAAATTCTTTAAAATGATGGAAAAATTGTATTACATACAACTCAAAGTTTCTTGGACTAGTATTAAATAAAATAATAAATATTTATGAAAAGTTCTGTTGGTATGGAATTATTTTTGGATAAACAAATTTCATATTTCAAAAATTTTTTTTTTCGAGATAAGGTAAAATACGCAAAAATTAAGATCAATATTGAATGGTCCAATCTTTGAACCACTCTCCTGACCAAACTATTTGAATTGCAAACCAGATTGCGGCTATTCCCTATATTTTGGGGGTCTGAAATTCGAATCCGTCGAAAAAAGGTATATATATTCAGAGGAAATACATTTTTGTGTTTGATTTTTTAACTTAAAATATTATCTGCTATGATTGCTTATTAATTATATAGAATATTTGAGGTTACCTCTTTGAGCTATTAGGATTGAGTTCTAGAACGAGGAGATCCGATCATCAGATCAAAAGTTATTCAGGGTAATCCATTTTTTATTCTCCTCTCTCTCTATGTTAACATTCTATGACAATAGTTCGGGAAGGCCTTTATTCTTCTCCCTTAGGATAACTGCTCCATTTTCATATCGAGATTAGCGCGTGGTTTCATTTTATTCTATAACTAGTGTTGACCAATCGAAAAAATTATCAGGTTACGACCTTTTATGTACAACTCCGTAGCCTAAAAATTTTGAACCCAATCAAGAAGACAAACTCTGGGATTAAACATAGAGACAAACTAGCCTTCGTTGGCGGACTTTTTGATAAAACTAACGCGCATTTGCGTTATATGGAGAGAAAAACCATGAAAACTTCCCACGGTTAGCATGACGGCAAGGGGACTCTTACCCTTAATCCACCACCACTGAGGATAATTTACGTCAGCACTATGGTCGGTGAGAGCCGAGTGCGGAATTCGAATCGATCAGCCATCGCTGGGATTCACATCCGATTCACCTCATTGAAAGGCAAACGTTCTATGCCCTGAGCCACTGGGGCTCTCTCGCGTATAGTTTGACGACATAAGTAATCAATTTGGTCATAAAACTCAAGTGAAATGAGTAATCTGGCCATCTCAGAACTCCAATTTAAATTACATAGAATGCTTTCAGAATGACCTGATACATTGCCAGAAAAATCAACCATTTAAAACTCTGCTACCAACCAGGCTATCCCGGCCCTTGAATATTAGCGTAATAAAATTCTGCGTAGCTCCGAGAAACGTGTTTCCCAATGAGATCACGCCTAAAGTAAAAATAAACCAAAAAATCCAATCTTTAAGACAAATTGTTTTGTTATTTTTTTATATTTTAGCTATTATATATCATTTTAATGATTTTAAGAGCGAATTTAACTTTTGCTCGTGCGTAAAATGTGAAGAGGACTACAAAATAAATTATTTCATTTCGTAAACTTTCAATTTATAGATCTCTAACTTTGGTGGACTCATTTAATACATATTTTTAAGAACTTCTGTCAAAAAAGAATTCACTTATGGGTGATATTTGAATGTAATAAAAACAAAATCTGACGAATCTCTACCGGGACTGAAAATACCTATTACATTGTCAGTGTTTTTAATCCATTTTCTTCCGCATTTCATTTCCTGTTTCTTTCCTCACAATTGGAGTCGTTTACTTTGGAAATCAAACTTTTTTTGATGCTTTTCTCATCAGTAGTGATTTATTGAATGTTTATAACTTCTTTTATTATTCGCATGAATTATTACATGATTCTAAAACTATTAAGGATGATTCTAATATTCCTTGATTCTAAACTATAAAACTATATATTGCAACATTCTGAATATTTACGTTAAACTCTTCCCAAGTAAAACTTTCAATCATGACGACATTTTTTCAAGTTCAAATATTCATGCTATTGTTTATTTCAGTTAAGTATGCGATTCTTTAAATTTGATTACTGATTAAAGCACTACAAATTATTAGAAAGTAACAAAACAAAAGATATAAAAGTTATTTCGTAGTTCAAATAAACAGCTAATCTATATTATATAAAGCGCTAATACGTACGTATGTATCAATAAAACCGATGATATTTCTTTTCTCGCGCTGGCAACAGTTTTCATTTTTAAATGATTGGATTCGGCGCGCAAGAGCAAGTAGTGAGCATCATATGGCTAATCTATATTATATAAAACGCTAATACGTTTATATTGATAGGCTTCGGCGCGCAAGAGCACGTAGTGAGTATCACTTGTATAGTCGGGTGAATTCTCACCGAATTATCAAAAACATTCTCACGAAATTATCTTCATCGAAGCCGATGCTTTACTTCCGGCGTTCAGTACTATTTCATATTGTTTTACAACACATGGTTTTAGCCCTTTGGTGGGAAAGACTTTAAAACAAAACTTAGAAAAGTTACTTTTCTCAACAACTGAAATTTAGAATAGTGTGATTAAGAAAAATATGCGAACTGTTTTCAATTTCAAATTAATATTGAAATGGACAGGTTTAGAATTTTCTACAGTGAAAAGTTTTCGGAACTTCAGTGTTCA